TTGATTTAAATTAAATTTAAGTTTGAACAAGAAAATGACTCCTATACAAAATATAGAAGGAGAAAGCCAGAAAATGGAGGTCACATCGGCAAGATCATTGAGTAACAATGAACTGCATCATTTTTTCTTCACAAATTATAGCAATGATTTAAAATCAGTCATTATTTTCTTACAAAAAACATGTGTGACAGGCAGCAAGGCGCTTGTAATTAGGCTAGTATAAAACTTTATCTAATTCATGTTTATTTTCTTTCATCATGATTTACATGATTTTTTTCAATTTTTAATTCCTTAGAATTTATTTATAAATAGAAAACAAATCTTAATTACAACCACAGTTTTCTTTCATTAACTATATCCTCTAAACACTTCCCAAAGGATTATCATTTCTTCATCTTCTTTGAGTATTCGATGGTTTATCAAAAACCACATTAATGTATGTTTGAATTAAACTAAGCAAATAGTGTTATGCATATTTGCAACAAATTAAACTTGGACTTGCTATAACTCACATGAACCGGAAGTATTTCGAAACAATCCTTACGTCAGTTTAAAACCAATCCGTTTAAGAGAAACATAAATCTTGTCAAAATTGAAACAAGAAATAATACCCGATTTATAGTAAACCTTTGTTGGGAGACTGAGAAAATTATTAATACTTTGAGAAAAGCATATTGTTGATAATTCCCCAATAATACATGCAAATGGAGAACTTCTTTCAAACAAGCACGAAATTGAGTAACAAACAGATCAACAGACCATCACATATGATTGAAGGAAAAATCGTTACTGTTAGTATTTTAATTGAGGGCGTCCGACAATTAACAAGGGGTCACTTCTCGGGTCAATTCGCTGATGCAGCTGGATTCTCTTATGCTCTGTGTATATTGAGTGCAAAGTCTATTTTGTTGTCATCAGGTGTGTGTCTAGTACATATTGGCTTCATTATAGATAAACTTCTCTGAAAACAAAGTTTCCTTAATAAAAAAAAAAAAAAATTCAGTGCCTCCTCACACATGTTGGACGAATCTCGCTCTGATTATTCATGGGGTGTCGATGTAGTTACCACGCTTGGTCAGTTGCAGGCTGGTGATCTTATTTAAACCATAGTTGGAGTTTGTTTGTTTTTAATTCAATGTAATCCTTCTGCTAGACCGGTTGCACCCAATACTATACGACCCAGTCTGCCATTCACCCATAGCACGTGGGAGAAAATATCCAATGTTATTTACACGTATATAAATGTAAGAAAAACCACGTGGAATTTGAACACAGATCTGTCCATTATTCCACCGTGCATTCTTATTAACGTTGGCATTTCACGTAGATTTAACAAATCTGGCTCTGGATTAGCAACCAGTCGATGAGAAGAATGATAATTACAAACTCCATTCCATAAAAAGCCTACTTGTAACAGAATCCACAGTAGCAACTATAAAGTGTATGAGGTCATGCACTCATACTCCCTATGGACTGACACATCTCTCATTCATTCATAATTTCGCCTTGCGGTCATATGTTGAAACTTCCGTACGATCACTGAAGTTAAGCAACGCCGCGACTGGCCAGTATCTAGATGGGTAAACTGATTCGGAATATCGGGTGTTGTAAGCTTGGAAGTGCGAGTGGTGTAATGGACGATAGTACGGATTTTTAATCAGAGAGCCGAGCTCCAATTCCAGTCGCGTTCGTTATATACGCTTACTCGCATATCTCCTTGGGAAACACATTAATCCTCCTCGTCTATGGGTTAATTAGTTAAATTTGTATCACTAAATCATTATTATGTCCAAAAAACGTCTTACAATCTAAGATTAATTTCTGGCTTTGAACCACCTTCAAAGGCTTGATACGGCGGAGAAAACGAGTCAATCCATCATTAAATAATAAAATATTCATAATTTAATAATATTTCACTGTTAGGGAACATAGTTACTTAATTAGTATAGCCGTCACGCCTAAAAGGACCCGCTGGAACAGGGCAGTCGTCTCTCGGCGTCCTCGTCGGCTTCCTCGGCCCCCGCTGCCAAAACCTTCAGATACACTCATTTTAGAGACGATGACGAATTGAGTGGGAGAGTTTTGCATATGCGTAGGAGCACTCCGTTAATTTTCTTTTCTTTTTCATATGCATATGGTGTCGCCGGGCAATTAAAGCCCTGCATGCGTAGGCGTTTTGGAGCATGATGTCGCGTATCCTGCCCACGACAATCACAATTAGTATTAGTTAATTATTAATATCCATCCATATACGTATAGGTGGTGTTTTTTTTATTTATCAATCCAGCATATTTTATTTATTTATTTTTTTTTGTGTGTAGACACATTTGAGTATAAGGTCCGTTTATTCATATTTATTTTAGTCTGTTGGATATTAAAGTGAAATATACCGAAAACCGTATATTTTTCTTTAATAAGATTTCTCTAAAAATTAGTCTATTAGACGAAAATTAATAAAAATACAGTTTAATAAATAAACGGTGCGTCTAATCAAATACGGGTATCCACTGAAAAATAACGTTTAAGTAATAAAATATACATATGGATATGAGATAACGACATACATTTTTATATATATATATTTATATATTGGGAATAATATTGGAGAAAATGTATGACAAATTGGAAAAAAGTTTTCCTGTGACGCGTTTCTTCCTTTAAGAATTCATCGCATTAAATTTATGTTGGTACGACTACACATGCGCACGAGTGGGGGATGATGAGAATTTAATACTTTTTTTTTTTTTTAAATCTAGACGATTTCAATTAGATTTTTTTTTTTGTATTCTTGCTATCGCTATTGTTATTAGACATCCAACACTGTGATAATAGATGTTCTGCCAGGAACGATGAAATGTTGTAAGTTCCCAGGCGTAAATTTACTGTGGATGATCTTGCGATAAGAGAGTGCTAGTGAGTGCCTTGATCGGAAGGTCATTCACAGTAAATTTACGCCCGGGCTCCTACAACATTTCACCTTTCCTTTTATAAAGTTTTATCATAGTGTGGGATATCTACTAACAAAAGTGACGGAAAGAAAAAGAAAATGAATTGAAATGAAATCACCGAGATTAAAATATATAAATAAGTATATAAATAAATAAATAAAATTTTAAATTTCTAGTTTCCCTTTTGTGCTTATGTTTAGTTGCACCAATATAACAAATTTAATCTGACAAAGTCCTAAAAGGCGAAACGTGTCACAAGAAAACTTTTTCCACTTTGTCATACAGTTTCCCCAATATATAGATATATAAACTTTATTTATTATTATATTTTTTATTTAGTTTTATATATATTGTTGATTCGTCCTGCCTAATACCTGTGCTCATGTATCATCAGCACAGTCAGTCAGTTATGTGCCACGCGTGATACACGCTTAGACGATCATGTATCTTTCGACGAAGAAGATTTTTCCTGCAGTACATTGCCATTTCTTCCTACAGTAAACCAGTTGTCATCCAAAGCTATAGAACCCGGTTTATCCTGCTATTTACCCATAGCTAAGGGGAGAAGAAGAGGATTCATACCTTTCCCAATGGTATTAGCACGTAAGAAAATTTAATGGATTCGAATGGAATTCGAACTCGGCTCTCCGATTCCACAATCCACTAATCATTATTGCACTGTGCCTCCTGTAGTGGACCTAAAAAAATGATTGGTCATAAAATGCCTGTGTTTTCCTCCACTCATTTTCTTCGCCGCGAATATTTATCTCAATAAGCGCGAATTTTAGCTTACAACTACGACCGCACCCTATGTCATTGATATCCGTCCTAAGCATATAAATAGCGCAGATATATTTCAGTTCAGAAAGGAGAAAACAGTAACCTACTGAACTTCATGTCGGCAGCCACTCATTTCATTTCCCACTCCTTCAATGGCCTCGGCCAAAAGAACGAACTCAACGAAACACCACATCGCCATGGTAAACATATCAAGAACTGTGAACACTCCATATTAGTGACACCCGTTAACTACTGTCATTGACTTTTCGAACTTTTCCCCATGAGCACAACTGTGAAAACCACTTTTACCTATATACTCGAACATAAATATCGTAAACAACCGAATCACACACGGTCAATACATACAGTCCAAAATGTTATTTTGTATTTGGCTTAATCGAGTTTTGTCTTTGTTTCGAACTGTTGCTTGTAAATAACAAATTTTGTATATTTGAGGTTTCGATGTTGACCAGACGTTGCAAGCCGTCAACAGAATTCATCATGGACTGTTGAATAAGTTCAATGCTTTGACAGCAGTCTCTTTTAACAAACACAGAAATGACATTAGGTTTATTCCAACTTTTATTCTCATTAATATAGCTGTCTTTCGATTTGATTGGTTCGTAATTACGGCTTCTTGTTAAAACGAGACAATTGCGAATAGACGAAAACAGACCGTTAAACTGCTCCACTTGTTCGAGTCACATCCGCTTTGAAATCTCTATGAAGCGAGACAAATGTATATTGATTTACGCAACTATGTGTTGATTTAGGGAGATGTTATTTGTCTCGTTTCTATAATGACTGCTGACACGGTCTGCGAAGTTCCAAGTCATTTTGTGTCTAGTTCTACCGCCTTTGTTTCCTCGTTCAAGAGAGACAGTAACAAGAGGAATGGGCGCAAACGGCGGGTGAAGAACTAAAATAATGGTCATTGAGAAACCGCCCGTATCTCTTACCACTACAGAAATCATATGTGTACGCTAACTGGCAACACTTCAACAGAAGTTCAGTTCCGCTCTTCAAATCTATCATGCTAAATGGTGCCGGAAGTTTACAAAGAAATGATTTAGGGCAGTTACATGAATATCATTTATAATCTATTCCCGTGTCTTTGTTGGTTGACAAGAGAAGCGGATCGTATTTCTTTGGAACGCAGAAATGAAAATTTAAATTCCTGCTCGCATCCGCCCGGTTGGACAGATTTCACTGTAATCTTATCATGACAGACACGGATTATGTATGGTAAACTTGCGAAACAAGCACCCACCCCTAACCGTGCGATGTCCTGATTTTCAGAGAAGAAAGATCACCAAGACAAATCGATAATTGAGATAGATAGATAGATAGATAGATAGATAGATAGATAGATAGATAGATAGATAGATAGATAGATAGATAGATAGAGACTGGTATAGACAGCTAGATCGATAGATAGATGAGAACAGACGGAGAGGAATAGATATATATAAAACTATATATATATATATATATATATAGAGAGAGAGAGAGAGAGAGAGGGAGAGAGAGAGAGACAGACAGACAGACAGACAGACGACAGATATGCAGATTGAGAGTGACATAGCTTGATAGATAGGAACAGACTGAGATAGATAGATAGATAGATAGATAGATAGATAGATAGATAGATAGATAGATACTGGTATAGACAGCTAGATCGATAGATATATGGAAAAAGACGGAGGTAATAGATATTAAAAACTGATATATATATATATATATATATATATATATATATATATATATACACACATAGATACATATGAAAACATAATATATATATATATATATATATATATATATAGAGAGAGAGAGAGAGAGAGACTGACATGGGTAGCTAGATAGATAGATACGAACAGAGCTAGTTAGGGAGATAGATATAAACAAAAAGATATAAAAATACTGAGATAGATAGATAGATAGATGGATAGATAGATATATATGCCTAGATAAAAAGTAAAAGAGGTTGAGTGTGATAAAATGTGAGATAGGTAATACCTGCTATCTAGGGTTTGCAAAAGTAAATATACAAGTAACATTAGTATTACCACTATTATATATTGATATGTTTATATAATCAATAAAATACGATATATTTTCGTTTTATTTTTGTGAACATTTTGATTTTTAATACTGTATGCCTACTTCTGCATCATCCTGATTGATATATATATATTTATTTGGGTATGCTCCGGAATAACACATTCATCTCAGATCTTGCTCTACACTCCAAGATTGCCATACACCAAAGAACATTGACACTAAAAGAACTCGGTTAGTTACAGAAATATTTGCTGTCGTCTGTAACGTTTGTTTTAGCATACAGACAGACACGCTCTGCACCTTTGGAATATTGGTGCGACAGAGTTTTTCATCCTCTTGTGCAAAGCGTAAGCGGCCTTATTTCATGAAACGCCTGCTAGAGAGCGGTGGTTAGCAAGAGGATCTGGGAGGCTTGTTGCTACACTATTGATTTTGTTAATCTCACTAGGTTTCCCGGCCCTTCAAGTAATTGTCTTAATAGAACAAATTCAATGTCATTACTAAACCTCGTCGTCTTTACTGTGTTCGGAAATAAGAAGTCGAAATGTTTCTATTCCTAATCATCGATCGTTTCCGATTTCTGAATATCCTCGATTTCATTTCCTCCTTGTAAATTCCTTTCTTATCTTGACAATCAGACTTCAATTCCCGCTCCCCACTAACCTCAAATCCCATTTGAAGTTATAAAGGTGGCAGACATCTTTTGATATCAGTGAAAAATTAGCCGCCATGAAAGGTAAATAGACAAGAAATGGCAAATGTCGCCTGTGGGTATATCAGAGATTAATAAACGCAACGTTGCAAGGCCGCGGCCATCTTTTGAGGGGAAGGTGTATTCTCCACTTTCCAACGTCTTTACCACAGTCTCAGTGATGTCAGACCTTGCTAATCTATTGCTATTTCAATGGTAAATGTTCAGATGAGCTCCAATCTCACGCACCACTTGTCCAGATCTTTAGAACGGATTCGCTTTGTCATTTGCATCTAGTTCAATCAGGCCCGTCTGGGTATGACGATAAACTACATCCACGTCCTGGGTAAGACGATAAACTACATCCAAGAGCAAGGCGTCTGATCAGGAGGTTTTGAGAGGCGTGGAAGCTTCTCTTAATTTCTGGTGTTCCCAGGTCCACCCTGACCCGGGGTGGTAGCACCTGTTATGGTCTCAGCTATGGGCAAATAGTTAACACCCAGACTACATCTGCGTCCTGGGTATGACGGTAAACTACATCCGCGTCCCGGGTATGACGATAAACTACATCCGCCTCTTGGGTATGACGATAAACTACGTCCAACAGCAAGCCCTCTGACAATACGTTTTTGAAAAAGTAATGTTGCCAGTTGTACGTTTTGGAAAAAAGTATTACCAGCTATACGTTTTTATTTTTATTTTTATTTTTTTTGAAAGAATAGAGTTGCCGGCTATACGTTTTTGAAAAAACAATATAATAATATTACCAGCTGTACGTTTTTTGAAAAAATAATATTACGAGCTGTACGTTTTGGAAAAATAATATTACCAGTTATAAATTTTTGAGGAAAAAAAGATTAACAGAAATAGATTTTTGACAAAACAAAAATATTACCAGAAAAAAAAAGAAGTTGTCGGCCTTAAATGACCCATTGAGGTGTTGATGTACCGTAAAACAAACCAAACCAAACCAAACCAATCAGGCTTATTTCCGTGGTATTATAAATGTATGAATACCAGAGAGATTTTCTCAAGAAATATAATTTTGTTGAACAAGATCCAGCCTGGATATTTCCTTGAACATTTTAATATTAACCCCTCAATCGTTATCTATCCACTTAATCCTTATAATCCTCTATTTATAAGCCCTTATCTTACATTCATATGGTAATACGAATATAAGCTGTTTCCCTACAAAGAAATATTTACCATTCGTTGACCGAGCAGCCAGTACATCTTTCGGGTGAAATTTATAAAATCTTTACCTTAAAACAACTTTTCAGGAAAAGAGGTTTTTCAATTCTAATAACTGTTATCGCTCTTTACAGTCTTGAAGTATTTGAAGTAATGTGGAACATCAACATCTTGATTATTCAATTATTTTCTCCCTCGAGTTAAACGTTCTATCCATTTTAGTTGTTGCTGCTGCTGGCAGTTTTCAAATGAATTGATTGATGACGTTTTAACATAGAAATTTAAAGAAAACTAACAGAAATGTAAAGAAAAATAAAGAAAGGAAAATGGTAACATGAAACAGTTAAAAAATGTTTTTAAAGTTAAAGAGACTGTCGACAACATACATTAAGACAGGCTAACCTTTGGGGTGGATTCATGACCACAATTGTTGGCGAAAGGGAATATCAATGGCATTTTCGTGGGATGGAGGTAGGACTCTGGCTGAGACAGGGAATTATCTTTTTTAGTATGGGGGCGGGGTAGGAATAACGTGTCACTGCTGACACATGAAATCGAACTTAGTCGTCAATGAGCAAACACTATTGTCTTCATCTTTGTCGCCATATTTATTATAACGTTTAGACATGGCACGTGGAACTAGAACAGTTTACCCCAGTGAGCGAAATAAAATGGTTCAGTTCGACATTCCAACCACCTGAAGAATGCCGGGGCGTACAACGGCCGAAACTTTATGATAAACATGGCGACAAAGATGACGACAATAGTCCGAATAATGTAAATAGTTTACATAATACCTCATCTCATAAATATAGACAGATACGCAATCCCATTATTGGATTAAGTGGATCACGTGACGATAGAGGAAAAGCTTAGATGTAGGAAGTAGCTGACGACTAACGATCGTATTTCTATCCTATCCTATAGAGCGCTATTCTCTACTCTATTCACTATTCTATTTCTCTATTCGGATCACTATACGGATTAATATTCGAGCGATTATTTTCGAGCAGGTACTATTAGTGCGAGATTATTCGAAGGCGTCTGACACCAGTATTGTTCAACGGCGTTACCATAGTTATATCTGCGATTACAAAGTCTCTACTGCAACGAAAGTGACAACGAGTATTCGTTAACATTACAAAAGTGGCAACGAGTGTTCGTTGACATCACAAAAGGATCGCAACTCGTTTTGTTTGGGGGGGAGGGGGTAATTTACGTATAAATATGCCTAGATCCGTTTTTTGGAAAGCGTACAATATTTGCGCACCAGGCAGTTTACCACACCAGAAAAAAAAAAAACTTGCATTAAATATAATATGATCGACATTTTTGGTACAACTCCTTATTTGTGAACCTGTAGCGCCAATCCACAATGCTCAAATAAGAATATAGCTTTATTTTCTTACTTCATTTGGATATGCCATATTCCATCTCCTTTGATGACGTCTAGATAGTTTTATGCTTCTTCTTGTTCCAGCCTCCTCAACTACGTGAGAATATAGTAATCTATTGAATATGTTTCGGTAATTCTTTCTTGAATGTTACTTATGTGCATTTATCTAATCTGAAGTCTATACCGATGTCATCACTGAAATATTTTACATTATTGAGAAGATCTTTCAACTCATTTTCCTCTTTGGTAAAAAGTTCGAGATCGTTCATGTGGAATAAGTGATTAAATACTTTGATGTTTATTTTGTATCCATGATTATTACTGCTTAGTTCATGCGAAAGTGGAATCAGGGACAGACAAAAGAAATGGGGCGACGGGCTGTCTCCTTGAAAGATTCCTCGTCGGATATTCACTCGGTTGGAAATGGTAGTGCCTTTGATGGGATTTGGGTAGAATGCGGCTTTCCACAGTTCAGTGCTATATTTAAGGAAATTTACTATTTCCGTGGAGACTTTGTACATTTCAAAAGATTTACGGTTTAAAGATTGTGGCTTTACGATAATCTATCCAAGCGATGCCGAGATTTCTGCCTTTTTTCTACAATTTCCCTGGATTATTGTATTTCTAAATAATTGATCTTTGCGACCATATCAGCCTCTGAGGCATCCTTTCTTCTAGAGAGGAATAATGTTGTTTTCTTCTTAAAAAGAGTAAGTACAGATCTGATTAAATTATTTGTGGTTCAAGGTTACTGGCCTAATAATTTTTAGATCATCTCTTTCCCCAGTTATTGGTAGGGAATTTGTAATACCTTCACTGGCACACTCTGGAATTTCATTGGGATTATTAATTAGTATTGATAAATTTTGAACCATGTGATTTATATATTGATGACAGATGATAGATCCAAAAGTCATTTCTTTGGGCGGGGGTCATTTCTTCTTTTATTTTGATCCATTCTGCATTGGGATTATAAAGGGGGTTTCATTAAGCCGGATTATATATAAGGATCTTTCATTAAAGTGGATTATATATAAGGGTGTTTCATTGAGACGGATTATATATAAGGATGTTTCATTGAACGGATTATATATAAGGGTGTTTCATTAAGCCGGATTATATATAAGGATCTATCATTAAAACGGATAATATATAAGGGTTTTTCATTAAGACGGATTATATAAAAGGATGTTTCATTAAAACAGATTATATATAAAGGGTGTTTTATTAAGACGGATCAAAGTCAGCAGCAAATAAATCAGTGTTATTGGTGAAAATGTATTTCTCTATTGGTTCATGTTATTTAAGTCATCAAAATTATGGGTGAAAAATAATATCACCCAAATATCCGCAAAATCTGAAAGAAAAAGAAAAAAAATCATTAGACGCTTAAAAATCCGTCCGAGTTATTGGAACACCCTTTATTTCATTGGTCTGCTCCCAATATTCTAGCAAAACTTTGGCACTTCTTCAATAAATAGCGGCTTTTTGACTCCCATAACTTCTTTTCCAAATTCATTGCAAACCTTGACGTCCGTTTGGAATATATTTTCTCGATAGAAACATAAACGCTTTCCCTATCGTCTTGTTCTCTATGCCTTTAATTGCAGTTTCTGCAGAT